ACTATTCAGAACCATCATGATGTAAGGACTACTGTAACGGGGTCTCGAAGTTGGGGAGAGAGATTGGGCTCAACTCCAAAGACAGCATGGGCAAGTGAGAATTTACAGCCAAGGAACAGAGTCAGTGGATGGGAAATTACTAAGAGGAGATATCAGCGGTAAGGGGAAATCTGGCTAAACCAACCTAACAGGATTCTTGTTGAAGACAGGCCAAGGTGATCAGATATCACCTGGAAGTTGGTTGAGGATGAAGAACCTGATCAGATATCAGGGATAGGGGCAATTCTTCCTAAACTGACTTAGCAGGGTTCTTTCCTAAAACTAGGTTTTTCAAGGAAGTGCATCGATGGACCTAGCAGAACATATAAAGCCTGACCACAGTTTGGCCAAGCAAAGAGTCTTTGTCACAGGCAGCTAGCACTCTCTGCCATGTGTACATATGCACACACACTCATGCACTCCTCAAAACATTCCTCTCTCCCCAAAGCACATGTGAATATTATCTATGAATTGATTTTGAGCTTTCCTGTGTATCCTTTCAGGTTGTATTCTTTCTCCTGAATTTTTAGCCCTAGTTAAGTCTTATAGTCAGTTCTCTAGAAATAAAATTGTGCAGTGGAAAGATCACTGGACTTGGACTGAGGGGACCTGATATTATCTAGTTTTAGTTCCTCTGACATCTAAGCTTCCATTTATTCCTTTGGTTAATAGAAATGAATTACGGTCTCTGCTTGTGTTTTACAAGCTTCTTATAAGATCAGATGAACACTTAATGTATGTGAAAGTGCCTTGTAAACAGTGAAGCATTCAATAGTTAAATGTATATTATTGTTTGATGCCTGTGTTCAAAATCAGGCTGCTCATCTTCCCAACACCATGAGCTATGCTCCTCACTTTTCTCTTATGGCAGGTCACCAAGTCTAGACACCTCAATCTTTTGGCTACATCTGACTCTCACCCCACATCTCCGGTTGTAATAGTCTTTGATATTATTCTCTTAGTATTTTTTCATCTTTACCATCCCTGACTACTCAATGCTACTCCTGTTGTTCAGGCCTGTATCATACTTATTGCCTGGCTATTATAGTAGCTCTCTGAGTCAACTTCAGGTCCAACTCTCCCTTCCCATCTCACATCTCTACATATTTCTAGACAGCCCTCATTTGTAGTGGATGTAGCATACTAGCATACTATGGGATTGCCTTGTCATAATTTAATAAATATTTTTCTGCTTTAGGGCATTAGGTTGTTTACGTTTTTTGTTGTTATAATGTGGTAGTAGACATTTGTGTGTGTGTATATGCAATGCTATGTGTAGCTTATGATTCATTATTTGTTATGGTAAATTCCTATAACATGAGTTACTGGGATAATGGACAGTTCTTTTATTTTCCCAGTTGTTTCCCAAAGGATGATTACAATTTATATGCCATGAACAACAGAATACTATTTATCATGAATATGTTATAGCTTTTCATAGTGTAGGGATCAAAATATGCCAGCTCCAAATATGCCACTTTGACATATTGATTATTTTGGGTAAAAGGCATTGAAAAGTCTGGGTGCGATGGCTCACGCCTATAATCCCAGCACTTTGGGAGGCCGAGGCGGGTGGATCATGAGGTCAAGAGATAGAGACCATCCTGGTCAACATGGTGAAACCCCGTCTCTACTAAAAATACAAAAAAA